TCTGATGCAAAGTTCATGACTGAGCTTTGCTGGAAAGGTATAGAAACATTAAACTTTAGCAAGCAAAAGCTGAAGTGGGAGTGCTCAAGCATTTCTCATAATGCAACACTTCATCAGAAAACAGTGATTTGTCGAAAGAAAAGAAACTCTGTGCAATCTCCTCTTGGGGCAGTGCTTTACTGACATGCAGCTGTAGTTCCCATAAGCTTTTACTTCATGCCCAGCAGGCCCCAAGGAGTGGGTGAACATCTTGGTTTCACCAAGTCATCCAAATGTTGAAGCTCTGGGGCAACCTTACCGCAGACTGTTCTGGACATGGGACATCCAGGCCTCCCATAGGCAAGACAAACCTGCTGTGTGGAAGGCCAGGATCTTTTTGGGTCTGGGACAGCCCTTTTGCCACGATCAAATCATGATCAGGAGTTTTCCCCAGCTCTCTGCTATAACAATGTCCCGAAAGCCCAGGAGACTCAGCTGAGCTAGTTCATGACAGTTCCTTGTTGATATCCAGGATGGTCACAGAAGTTTAGCAAATTCTACCTTCGAGCTGAATGGGAGGGAAAAGCTTTTGGAAGATGAGAATTTCTTGTGAGGTTTCATGGCCTTATGAATATAAACATACTCAACTTTACCTTGTGGTCAGCAGATGATCTACCATAAGTTAACAATATCATGCTGTTCCAAGAAAGACAAATGCCATGCTGAGATGTATAAACAGGGCCATAGTCTGCAAGACACATGAAGCAATTCTACTACTTTGTTCAGCTCTTATAAGGGCTAAACAAGTACACCGTGTCCATTTCTGGGCACTGATCTGCACTAAATGTAGAGATGCTGAAGAGAGGCCAGAGGAACGAAACAAGAATAATCTGAGCTCAGAAAAGCATCTTTATGAAAGAAAAGGGGAAAAAAAATAAAAAAATTTTGCAAGTTAATTTGGTTGGTCTTAAAAAAAAAAGAGGAGGTGAATTCAAATCCCAAACAAGGTTATTATGAGCAGGGAGGCACTGGCCTGCATGTTGTAGATGGGCAAAGACAGGCTTGAGCTGCAACAAAAACCATCAAAGTTAGATGTGAGAGAATATTTGCTTCAGTAAGAGCATTGGAGTAGGATGCCCTGGATGTCTGACAAGTCTTCTTCCTCAAAATGTTTTAGAGAAAATATGCCAGGAACTGCACTACTTTTGCTGAACCCTTCTTGGGCTAAGGGGCACCTGCAAGATCCCTTGAGATCTTCCCAACTCAGATATTGTATGTACTTGAGCAGCTACTGTTCAGAGTTGTGGTTAGTTACTGTGTGATTAATAAGTATTTTGTAAGTAGGATTTGCCACGAGTGTGCCATTCAGCTTCTTTTCACCCGAATCACAAAGATTTATTGAGCATTTCCAGCTTTTCTGCATGGTTTAGTCTGGCAGCTAAAACATTCAACTAGCAAAATGGTACTGATTGCTGCAAGCCTTTCAAATACCCATAGCCCTGCTCTGCGTGCGATCTCTCCCCACCTCAGCTACAGTTTCTGACATGACAATAGGCACCTAATGTCTCATCCTGTTTCTGGAACCACTTTAAGTTCCTCCACTGAAGCCTAGGTGAGATAGCTGCTACATCCTCTTCCATGAGAGTTCAGAATCAAAATGTCTGATAGTTGACAAAACAGAGTGGAAAAAATGTTGAAGATTATTTTTCAAAGGGATTAAAAATAGTGCTGTGTCAAAAAACATGGAAATTACTACTTATTTTTTATATTTTTCTTGAAAAGTAGTTTTATGGAATTGTATTTGCTGAATATATGCACAGGGAAGAGGTGTTCTGTATTGAAGAGCTTATAGTCAAAGAACTTGCATGCTGACACTAAATAATATTCTACATGTAAAAACATTTGCAAAGGAAAAGAGTAGCAATGGATTTCAAGCTTCCTTCTTAATTCAGTTCCTTGTTAATTGAATCTTTTTTTATTTATTACCTGAAAACTGCAGGACCACAGTAATTTGTTCTATTAGAAGTACAATTTCCACCTGTGGTTTGCTAAATTTTATGTCTGGAGGTTTGCATTAGCAGGTAATTCAATCATTGACTGCATAAGGCTTCCCTTTAATAAGGAAGAGGCCCATAATCTTAATCTAATTAAAGAAAAAAGAACTGAAGGAAGACTTGCTGCAGCAAAAGTTGATACTGGAGGATATTATCTGGGGTACTGGCAGCAAGCTAACAACTGTTCATCAAGAAATCAGTATCTTCAAATATTTTCAACCTCAGGTATGGAGAACACTTGAAAGCAGCTGGGAGACCTGTGTCTTCCATGAAATGAGTTTGTTTTCCCAGCTGTAGCTGGTATTTAGGTATGGAGAGTTGTAAATTTTGACACTGAGATTTACAAGGAGCTGAGCATACACTTAGCTTTGCTTTTTCTGGATGTCATTTTGTACCAGTGCATCTTTGGACATTTATCCCTCAGTCTGCTGCCTCAGGGATGTGCTTTATGTATACACAGCCCATCTTGTTCATACACAGCACCTCTGATGTTATTTCAGTTCTGTGTCCTGTCCCTGAGAATAGCTAGTTCTGAATTATTCAGGGGGATACCAAGTATTGTCCTCTACCACAAATGAATAACTGTTTTAATTCTCTAATTCCTTGTCATGCTCTGGAATGACATCTTGGAGTACTAAGTGCTGTAAAAGCTGTTTTAAAATTAACTGTACTTTACTAGTTTCAAATATTTCAGCTTTGTCTACTCTAAGAAAAGAAAAATAAGAACATGAATTGGCTTTTTCTACGTTTAATTTTACATTTTTCTACATTTACATTTTCTTCAGTCATGTACTGTCTGGTGGCAAAGAGTTGTTCCTAAATATTCAGTAGCATTAGCCCAAACCACTCCATAGCATCCCAGCAAACTAAATTACATTGTCTATCTGCTCATGATGAAAACAGTTTCCTTTTTCATAAGCCAAGATCCCTGAAGGTAAAAGAAAGCCTTAGTAAAGGAAAAGCAGAAAAACAGAGGGATAAAGCAGCAGACTGTGGTCTTGAGCTGACTGACTTTCCACAGCAGATGGGGAAGTCACTGATCCCATCCCACCTTGGTTCCTTGCCCAGGCTCAGAGGACCCCATTGCTGGCTGCCTCCATCTCTGCCCCTGAAAGAGCATGCTGTCCCCCAGGTCTCTTTGTCATCTGGGAGGGTGTCAGGGAAGAGGATGGGCCAGACTAAATAGCATTAGTCAGACCATCCCATCTCTTTGCAGTGTCTTTTCAGAAATTATTCTGTCCTTCAAATGTCTCACCTCTGAGTTCTGGCCCCACCTATGCTGGGCCTCACCTCAGAAGACTGTATGAGCTTTACTACTGTTTATATCTTTTCTGAAACCCTATGTAGTGGGAGGAAGATGACCTTTCCCTAGCTGAAATATGGAAAAGTGTTTTGTTCTTTATTCTGTTGGGTGCTGAAGAAGCAAAATCCACCATCCATCTGCCAGGAAAAACAAGAACCCAAATGCTTGAGGACACTCACTTGTTGCAGTGCTCTGTCACCTCCTAATCCTGGTTCTGGTTAAAGTTCTGCCATCCAGCTGTCAAAGGGCCACATGCCAATACCTAGACATATTTTGATACCTAGCCAAAGATTTGATTGCCCTTGCACTTGTTCATGCCGGGGCCAAAGAATAGTTTAGAGTGGACCCAGCATGGAGAATTGCAGTATCTACCAAGCTGTCTAAATGCATTGACCACAGAGGCATGAGAATGATGTGAACTTTGTCTCTTTTTCCATTGACTGCTATGTCCAGACCTTCATTATAACAAAAATGTATGAAATATTTCCAAGTGCTTGGTGGTCATACAGCATGCATGATCATTGAGGCTGGCTAGTAGAAGTTGTTACATGTTCACAGTGTTTCCCTGCAGTAGCTCTGTTTTTGACCTAAGTAAAGATCAAATCTGTCGAGGTGCATTTAGTGCATAAGTCGTCATCCTCATAAAAAGGTTCTCAGCTCTTGAAAGCTCTTGATGACTTGCCTCAGAAATTAATTGTCCTCAGGATTAGCAATGTATGCCTAGCTTCTACTCTGAATTTTACTATCTTCAGATTGTTACAACTAGCTTTTAGACCTATTCCAAATAGGCTGAAGTTCATTGTGACTTGTTTGTGCTACCTCCTCCCCCATAGCCATAGCCATTTTCATATGCCATAATTAAGTTAGTTCTTCATCTGGGAGGCCTATAGCTGTACTGCAGGGAAAATGTATCGCGGACAGAGAAGCTGCAATATTTCTCATCCCCAGGAAGGAGGCTTCAAAGGCTTCTATAGCTAAGCTTCCAATGACACAATTACCGAACCTTTAAACCCTTCATGATTCTTTATGGAGAAATGTCTTGGTTTCAGATGCTTCCCTGGAAGTCATTCTTCCTTTCAATGTGAAAGAACTCTTTCTTGTGACCTTGTTTCATGTTTAGCTAGGATAAGTTCAAACCAGAGAGTTAAGAACAATCAAAGAAATGAGGGGATGGACCAAAAGATAATCACAGTATTTGCTTAAGAGAAAGTAAGAGAAAGGTTTGATTCTTACTGCATTTAATGCTTCCTTATTCCCCACTTCCCCACCCAGGTCTCAGAGTGTTCTCTGTTCATGGATGCCTGATGACAGGTTTTACAGTGTCTCCTGTGACCAAAGTCATCCTATGGATGCCTGATGACAGGTTTTACAGTGCCTCCTGTGACCAAAGTCACACAGAACCATAGGAAGGTTTAGCGACCCATCCTACATATGTAATAGAGAATCAGGCATCTGACATTGTTTGAGGAGGTGTGGATGGTGTCACTGGGGTGTTTAGCTTACTTTGTCAAGGTTATAGTGTGTCCCAGGTGGATTGTTGAGTGGGGGCATCTTCAGGGACATACTGAGGGGTTGATTTGACAAAGCAGAACCACTGTGGCAATGTGGGGCCCTGGGATGTAGGTGAGATCACTTTTCAAGTCTTTCTTTTACAGTTCTCAGAGATGGGCTCTCCATAATGCTTCGATTATGAAGAAAGAAGGACCACTCTATTGTTGTTTTGCAATGGAGAAGACAGAGGGAGAAACACCAGCACTGTGGCTCCCACCTTGTTGCTTATCTCCCTGCAAACATGTGCCCAAAATCCTCTCTGTGCTGTATTAAAAAAAGCTTAGACATTACGACATCTGCTTTCTTACATCATCTTTTCGAATTTTGCATCCTATAACCCCTGGAGAAAAGAGGAACAATGACTTTATATAGCTGCTGTTTGTTTCTTTTGCTATTTACCTGTAACACTGCTGCCTATGGGCCAAACCAACGGGCACAGAAGAAGGGAGACATTATTCTTGGAGGATTGTTCCCCATTCATTTTGGAGTGGCTGCTAAAGACCAGGATCTAAAATCAAGACCAGAATCAGTGGAGTGTATAAGGTAAGCGATTAAAAGGGAAGCTGAAAAGTTCTGGTGGGGAAGTCTTCACCTTTCTTGACTTCCAGTCACATTCTACACACTGTGTAAATATGGTCTGTAATCTGATGCTTGTAGAGGCAATTGGAAGGTATGGTGTATAATAGGAAAAAAAAGTGTTTATGTTAAACAGTAACATAAAGAATATTTGGACAGTAAAAGAAGGCACTTTTTGTATTACCCAAAGTGCTAAAACATGAATATACTGATCTGTCTGGCCATTCACTGTGGACATTTGAATACTAGCTGAAAATCAACTTTCCTAGCAGAAGGACAGAAAATAACCCATAGTGCCCTTTAGTTCATTAGATTAAATAAGGCATAGTAAAATAACTTAAGAAATCAAAGTTGGATTTTCCTTTTCCAGTTCTGCCTGTCATCTTCTAAGACTTTACAAACTGTTTAGTTGCCTAAAGAAGCGAATAGGTGGAAGTGCTTTTGAAAATCCCACTGAACACATAAATGTGTCTTTAGGATCTTTACAAAGTCCCAAACTTGAATGCAGGCTTTCCTCACTCGGAGTCCTTTTTTCCTGTGTCAACAGTGCATATAGATTCTGTCTGAAGTGTTTGGCAGCTAACCCTGGAGGGAAAAATGCACATGAAAACAATTTCTCTTATTATTGAGGTGTAGCCATTTTTATGATGAAATATGAGGAATTTTTGACCTTACAACCCGGCACATAATAGACAGAGTATGTGGAAAGCTTGACAGAAACTGATTGCAACTGGAGCAGCATCTAAACAAAATATAAGAAATTGATGTGGAATTTTGTCATGATCATGCATGCAAAAACACTTCAGAGTTATGGGACCTCTTCTGGAATCACATGTGAAAAATTGTGTATCTGGAATTATCTGGACCTCTCATCCTAGACTGGGGATCTAGTTGCAGTTTTGTTGCAGA